ATTCAGCAATCAGGCCATGACCACATTAAATACCCTAAGAAGTATAATAATCCTTGTTTAAGATCCAGTGGTAGCATCGTGGCATACTCTACTCTATGTGGCACATATAAGTTTGGTCCATTGAAACCCCAACTATTAGCATAGAATACAAGAGGGCTAGCTTGATTTGAAAAAGGTCAGCACTGAAACAATCTGGAATCCGTGATTGTGTGGCATACCAGCAGCCACTTCTAGGTGCTGGTAAGAAATAGGCGATGCAAAATCCGAAGTCCGTCCTAGATGATAATACCTTTTGGAGAACAATTCTAGGTAAAATTCAATGGTATCCGAGTCAGACCTTTAGTACTATACGTGACTTAGGGTTTATATAGTTCTTATTCAGAATGTACTAGTGGTGTGAGAGCCTGCTCCACATAAAAAAAAGAATCAATAATTTGTCTCAAACTAAATGCGAGCGAAGTAATTTACTAACGTGTTGTCCTGCTGGTTTTATGTGAACGGGAACGAATGCGGGATAATATGATAATTGGAAAAATACATAAAAATTAAGAAATAATGGATAAATTTGACAAAATTGGCCTCGATAATTTAAACCAGACAGTGACAAACGTTCTGGCGTTCGACAAACGTTCTGCCGAAAACGTTCACACTATCACTCCTCTTTCTGTCCTGGCCTATTTATCTATTCTTTACCCTCTTATCCAACTCATGCCCTATCACAATATAATTGAGTCTGGATTTTATATTAAATAATTTTGCATTCGATATGGCATTTAAATAAATTCTAAAGCAATAAAATCATAAAAACCAACAATAAGCAGCATAGCGAATATAATATAGAGTAGAGAGCTAGATAGGTTGTAAGCAAAGATAAATCTTAGAGTGAAATAAGGTGAAGCACGAGACCATAAGTTAGAAACTAACTAATATTATCAAATATAAATCGTATAATTTTATTAAACCATTCAGGAAAATATTTGAAGTCGAAACATGCAAATACCCATGCCCGCATGAATAGAGCCTAATATTGCAAAAACACAATTGATTTCGCAATGTTTGAAGCTGGTTGTGAAGCCTAAGACAATAAAATTGCAAGATAAATCTAATGCACGTTTTAATTATTCGTGTTAATTTTTACTAGTGGTGACCGTTACGCTATGCGAAAAAGATCAAGCTGTCTCCCAAAGTTGTGATGTCCTTACAAAATATGTTCAATACATTTAGAAAAATAAAAATATGCTACTTTCATAGTAGTAAAGATTTTAAATGTGAAAGGTTATTATGGTGAATGTCATAAAGCTATACAAGTAAGGGAACGAAGCTATACAAGGGGAAAAAACTTTCGGAGACGTTATGCTTAAGTAAGTTTTTGAGGTATCTATACTAGCGAGTATAGTGAGATTCACTTCACTAATCCATTTCAGTTACCTATGAAGAAAAAACTATAACCTACTCGAGAATTTTGTGGGAAATTATGATAGGCAGAGCATATTCATTGGGAGAGAGCACGAACTGAATAGTCCGAATCCAATACCCATTTGAAGGCATATATATATATTAGAAACGCATCATAGAAACTCGGTACAGATTTACACTGGATTAAATAATAAAAAAATACGATTTCTATTATGGAGTTGACTAAAATTACTATATGAATAAGTTCACTTAACAAATCAACGATTTCAAAAGGCGAATCAGGAGAAATTAAAGTAAAAATTGTAATATGCGTGTAAAAAGAATGAATTAAAAAGGAGTATTAAGTAGAACTATCTGTTAAGAACATTAAGCTTTAGAAGAGACATCAAACTTACTTGATAAACGCAAGGCTAGCCTTAAGATTCGAGCTTTGTTGTGAAGTAGTGGCTAGATTAGCCCTAGCATCACGAAGATTATCCTCTATGCTACGTAATTTATCGAGGAAGCTCCGATTTAGACGCTGGCTAGAGGGAGCTAAGCATGATTCGGGAGTCATGAGTGAAGGAAAATTATCCGAGCCACAAAACAATTGCTCCAGCACATCAAGGTGCCGACTGCGACTAAATAAATAAAAAAGAATACTCATTACTATAATGAAATTAGAAAAGAGAATAATTATGCGAATAAAAATTTGAAGCAGCAAGAACCAAGACAAAAATTCTAAATAACATTAATTAATGGAAGGTAGTTCGTCACTTTCGTATGCGTAAGATGAACAAACTAGTAAAAAATATAAAATAATTTATAAAAGTAAATAGTTTCTACGCAATTTACTATATAGGGGGTGACGTAAAAATGTATAATCTACCTATTTAATTTTTTTTGCAATAAGCATGCATCTTAAACACCAGCTAAAGGCGACATGATTAAAAAAAGTAAAAAATAATAATGCGTAAGGCAAGATTACCCTTACATTTTTCTAGTAGCTTCGTATTTTGCGTCTCGATCCTTCAAAAGAATGTCTCGCTCCTTATCTTGTAGGACTTGCTTCTGAAGAAGATTAATCTGTTCACTTTTAAAAGTGAGTAAATAAGATGGGGAAAGGAAATTAAAAATAGGTTAATAATTAAGAATATAAATGGGCAGCCCAGAATAGGCCAGAAAGTGTAATGGTCAATGATATATCGAAAGACTCTTGGGAATAGTGAGGGGGCCAGAAAATTTAAGAGAATGACAATTCGCACTTTTACATTTATGAAATACTATATAGAAATATGAAATGGAATCGAGCCCAAGCTGTGGGATTTATTGTAGTGCATTTTTAGAAAGAAGAAGCACGAATAATATAATATAACAGGCAAAGAAAGTTGATCTCTCCATGATGGAGTGATGACAAGACTTGTCATGAAAATGATAGGCCAAAAAAGGACTAAAGTTGAATTTTTTATAAACTCGTCCAGGTC